CTGGCTGATGACAGGGCCCATACAATCCAGTAAACGGGCGGCGTGGCGTCCACACACCCCTCACAGCACGTCAGCGCCGGAGAGGGAGCGGTGATGCGCAGAAGCCAGAGGGGAGGGGCTGGGAGTCACAGTTTAACAGGACAGGATGGCCAGGCGGCCAGCATCGGTGCGGCCAGCGGCCGGGCACCAGCACACTCCTGGGAACAGGGCGGAATCCTGACGTGATCTGAACCAGCCCCCAGGGCACCCTCCTCTTCCCCAGTGGCCACCCCCCTGGGGAACCCCCCGTGAGGCCGCCTGGCCACGGCACCCTGTGAAAAACCAGGGCTCCCTGCACGCCCCGCTGCCCGTCGGCTCAGGGACCGGGTCCGAATGAAGGACAGAGGGGAGCAGCCAGCCCGGGGAAGAGCAGCTCGCAGACACCGGCATCCGGAGACCTGACGGAACAGCCACGGTTCCCGGACGGGATGACCGTGCCCGGGTCCAGGAAGTCACACAGAACGCTCAGCCAGAGGAGGGCAGCCATGGAGGCCCCGGATCTGGACAGGGTCACCCTCGGGCAGAGGCTGAGGCGGCGGGCGTTAAGCTGTCTGCGAGACCCCTGACTCCCGCGCTCTCCGCTCTTGTTAGGGCTGCTTGGAGGTCCTCGGAGCAGGGCACCCACAGCTCACACGAGGGACAGGAAGCGGGGGGGGGGGGGGGGGGGGGAGGATGAGCAGAGCCCTGAGCCGGGCTGCGGACCCACAGCTCTTTCCGGAGAAAGGGGGGCGGGGTCAGCTCAGGGCACAGGAAGCACCAGGCTCACCCACGGCCGCCACGAGCGTGCAGATGTCCAGCATCACGTCGCAGTACAGCAGTCTCTCAGCCGCGTCCAGGAGCCCCCACTCCTCCTGGGAGAAGGCGACCGTCACGTCCTCAAAGCTCATGTCCTGTCAGCGAGCACAGGGCAGGCCCGTCAGCTTCTCTCCGGGAGCTTCCGTTCTGCAGACCCGGCACCTTCCTTCCTCTGCCCCGCCCGCCGGAGCAGACACCGGCCACAGGGAGAGGGCAGGGGTGGCCCTGTGCCCGGGCACACAGTGGGGCCGCAGGCAGGGGAGGGAGCTGGCCTCGGAGCAGGAGGGAGTGGTCAGACACTCGTCTCCTCAGGCAGCGCCCTGGGACCCTGATATGGCCCCTCAGGAAACGGAAGAGCGTCCTCAGGATCCACACTCAGCACCGTCCCGGCACCGAGGCAGCCCTGCGCTCCGCACCGAACCTGGCACCACAGGCGTGCACACTCACTCCCAGAAGTGCGACTGCGAAGGCACAGCCCGCAGGACAGGACAGCCCGGGGGACAGCACAGCCCGGGGGACAGGACAGCCCGGGGGACAGCACAGCCCGGGGAACGGGACAGCCTGCGGGACAGGACAGCGTGGTCCCATCAGCCTGGTTGTCACAACAGGAGGGAACCGCCTCCCTGAGCTGCCCCTGCTCACTGGAGTCCAGTGAGAGTCCAGCCTGGGCACCCTGACACCCACTGTGTCCCGGAAGCCCAGCCTCACTGAGTCTGCCCTCAGCTACAGGCGGGCGGGCGGGCGGACCCATGCGGACCCCTACCCCCTCCTCCCAGGCACTCCCCCGGGGGCGCGTCACCTTCCACCAGATGTAGCAGAGGGCTCCCCCGCCATTCACGCCATTTACTGCCGCCACCTCCTGGCCCCTCTCCTCATTACTCAGCGAGTGTGGTCCAGAGAAGGCTCGGACGATTCTAGAAGACCAAGCCTCCCGGACGCTGATGGCCCACACCCACAGGGGCGGCCGGAGTCCCGCCCCCAAGGCCGCCCTCCCCGAGGGTCCCCGTTCCCACATCACCTGCCGGGGCCCACACACACACACACACCCGTCCAGGATTCCTCATTCCTCAGGCAATCCCACAGCTCCTCCCAGTCCAGACACCCCCACTCCCTTCTGGGGAGTCTCCACCTGAACCCCTCCAGCACCTGCTCCCGGACATCTCCTCGCTCACAGGCCAGAAACAAACCTGATACTCTGCACGCACCCGGCCCTCACCGCTATGACTGCCCTCGCCGTGTGCGGCCGCCCATTCCGCCGGAGCAAACCCCGCTTCCATGCCACCCGGCCGCCTCTTTCTTCCTCTCTCCCCCTAAACCCCGCTTCTCTCTCTCTCTCTCTCTCTCTCAAACCCCGCTTCCTCTCTCCCCCTAAACCCCCCCCCTCTCTCTCAAACCTCGCTTCCATGCCGCCCGGCCGCCTCTTTCTTCCTCTCTCTCTCTCTCTCTCTCTCTCTCTCTCTCTCTTTCTCTCTCTCTCGGGCAGTGCCCTTGGTGGGTTGCTGAGTTGGAGAGCTGTCCCGATAGGACAAGGTTGCGGGTTCAGGGCACATACAAGAATCAGCCAGTGAATGCATGAAGAAGTTCAACAACAAATCAAAGTCTCTCTCTCTCTCTCACACTTCCTGTCTCCCTAAAACCAATCCATAACATTAAAAAAAACTAAAATACCAAAACCCAACTGCGTCTCCCATTTCCACCTCCACCATCACGGCCCCGTGACCATCACACCCTCCCAGGCGCTCCCAGCAGCCTCCTCCCAGGTCTTCCTGCCCCGGCAACCACAATCACACCCACCCTGCCCTCACCCTCCACGCTGCAGCCACAGGGAGCCTCACCGCCCTGGGTCAGAGCCCCTGCCTCCACGGCTGCCAATCCCCACTGGCCCAGCACCTGCACACAGACACCGGACTGTCACAAAGCTGCTCCAGATCAGACTCCTGCACTAGCAGTGTGGCTCAGTGGATAGAGCCTCAGTCTGCAGACCGAAGGGTCTTGGGTTCCATTCGGGTCAAGGTCACATGCCTGGGTTGCTGGCTCAATCCCCAGTGTGTGTGTGTGTGTGTGTGTGTGTGTGTATGGGGGGGGGGGGGTACAGTAGGCAGCCAATCAATCAATGATTTTCTCTCATCATTGATGTTTCTCTCCCCCTTCCTCTCTGAAATCAATAAAGAAATATATATACTTAAAAATCAAGCCCTAACCGGTTTGGCTCAGTGGATAGAGCATCAACTGCAGACTGGGGGGTCCCAAGTTTGATTCCAGTCACGGGCATGTACCTTGGTTGCAGGCAAATTCCCAGTAGGGGGTGTGCAGGAGGCAGCTGATCGATGTCTCTCTCTCATCCAGGTTTCTAACTCTTTATCCCTCTCCTTTCCTCTCTGTAAAAATCAATAAAATATATATTTTTTAAAAATCTGGCCCTAACTGGTTTGGCTCAGTTGGCCTGTGGCCTGAAGGGGCCCAGGTTCAATTCTGGCTGGGAGCATATGCCTAGGTTATGGGCTTGATTCCCAGTAGGGAGTAGGCAGGAGGCAGCTGTTCAATAATTCTATCTCATCACTGATGTTTCTATCTCTCCCTCTCCTTTTCCCTTCATCTCTGAAATCAATAAAAAAATATATATATATATTTAAAAAAAAAAAATCAGACTCCTGTCCCAACTGTTCACAGTTCCCATAAGAAAGCAAAAGCAAGGACAGCCCTAACCAGTTTAGCTCAGAGGATACATCGTCGGCCTGCGGACTGAAGGGCCCCAGGTTCAATTCCGGTCAAGGGCATGTACCTTGGCTGCTGACGCATCCCCAGTAGGAGGTGTGCAGGAGGCAGCTGATCGATGTTTCTAACTCTCTATGCCTCTCCCTTCCTCTCTGTAAAAAAAAAAAAAATCAATAAAGTATATTTTTTAAAAACAAAGCAAGGTCACCTGCACCTGCAGGTGCCTGAACCAGCTCGGCCGCCCACAGAAGCCACTGCACATCCTGGCACCTGTGCCGGGGAGGACCCCCACATCTCACTCCACTGGGGGCCAAACACTGAAACCGCTTCTTCTTCTTCTTTTTTTTTTTTTTAAATATGTTTTATTGATTTTTTACAGAGAGGAAGGGAGAGGGTTAGAAAATGAGAAACATAGACCAGCTGCCTCCTGCACACCCCCACTGGGGATGTGCCTGCAACCAATGTACATGCCCTTGACCGGAATCAAACCCGGGACCCTTCAGTCCGCAGGCCGAAGCTCTATCCACTGAGCCACACCGGTCAGGGCTGACACCACTTCTTTACCACCTCGGACCTGGCCTCAGGACCCTGGGCTGAGGGTCTGCAGGTCCCGGGGCAGGAGGAGCGGCTGGACAGCCCGGACCCCACAGCCTGAGGCCCCCACAGCGGGAGGCCCTGACCTCAGCCCACAGCCCGGCCCCTGAGCGGCTCTGGCCGCAGGGCCTGTGGGAGCCGAAGGCGCTGAGGGCCCGGCTCCGCCGCCAGGACCCGGGGCCCAGGCTGGTCGGGGCCCGGCCCAGCCCCGGGGCCGGGGCCGGGGCCGCCGCCCCCTCCGCTCAGGGCTCTCGGGCCGCAGTGCGGACTCTTGCCAATTCCGACCTTTCTTGCTTCCTTCCTTCCTTTCTGTTTTTAAATATATTTTTATCGATTTCACAGAGGAAGGCGGAGGCAGAGACAGACAGGAAATCGATGAAGACAGAGAATCACGGCCCGGCCGCCTCCTGGGCGCCCCGCCCCCCTGACTGGGGATCCAGCCCGCACCTGGGGGGGGGGGGGGGCCGGAGTGCCGGACCCGGGAATCGACCGTTGACCTCCGACCCTTGACCTCCGGGCCCCCAGGTGCAGGCTGGAGACCTGGGCCCCCAGGTGCAGGCTGGAGCGGGGCTGCCAGTCGGTCCGGGGTCCGGGGTCCCGGGGCGCCGCCCGCCGCGCCGGCCTCTCTCCCGGGCGGTCCGGGGGGAAGGAACCCCGAGAACCGCGTCGGAGACAACGTCCCTCTTTTGTTCCATCGCCGCCCGCGCCGCGCCCTCCCGCCGCCGGCGGACACGGCGCGGGGCCGGCAGCCCGTCTCCGGCTCCGGCCCCCCGGACCCCGGGCCGGTCCCCTTCTCACCCCGGCCCCCGGCGTCCCCGCTCCGCCCCGCCGCCCGGCCGCCCCGGGGCCGCGCTCACCTCCGCCGGGAACCGCAGCGCGGCCGCCGCCATTGGACTTTGTGGGCGGAGCGGGGGGTGCGGGCCCGGCAGGCCCGGGTCCCCCGCGACCGTGACGACCCGCCAGCCCGCCGCCTCGCCGCCGCGCAGCGGGGACCGCCCCTCCGGCGCCTCCTCCATCGCGGCCCGGGGCGAGGGGGGCTCTGCGGAGCGCGGAGAGGCGAGCCGCCGCCTGAGGCAGCCCGGAGGCCAAAATGACCGCCACGAGGAGGACCCGGAAGTCCCGCCCTGACCCCTCGGCGCAGCCCAGCGACGACCCGCTCCCGAGCGCTCATTGGCTGCACCCGCCGTCCGTCGGCGCGTGGGACTCTGGGTGATGTAGTTTCCTCAGCCCAGGGGATGGGGGTGGACGCCAGTGTCCCAGGCGCTGACCTTGGCCAGCACAGGGTTTGCCGCTGCCCCGGCCAAGTGAGCGTGTTTGTCAGAGCGCCTTCTTTAAAAAAAATATATATATATATATTTTATTTATTTATTTATTTATTTTATTTTATTTATTTATTTTTTTACAGAGGAAGAGACAGGGATAGAGAGAAACATCGATGAGAGAGAGGCATCGATCAGTTGCCTCCTGCACAGCCCCCACTGGGGATGTGCCTCCAACCAAGGGACCCCCGGAGTCGAACCAGGGACCCCCCCCAATGGAGCAGGCCAACGCTCCATCCACTGAGCCAAACCGGTTTCAGCAAGAGCGCCTTCTCCTTTCGCCCCCGTCCCCAGTTTGATCCCAGGTCGTGGTTCAAATGACAGTTTTAGGGTTTTTTGGGGGGGAGGGTGAAGTCTGCATGTTTGTAGGGCGTGTTGTTTGCAACTGATTACTTGTCTGCAAGGGGTTACTTAGGGTGTGTGTGTGTGTGTGTGTGTGTTTTAAAATATATTTTATTGATTTTTTTACAGAGAGGAAGGCAGAGGCATACAGAGTTAGAAACATCGATCAGCTGCCTCCTGCACACCTCCTACTTGGGATGTGCCTGCAACCAAGGTACATGCCCTTGCCCGGAATCGAATCTGGGACCCTTCAGTCCACAGGCCAACGCTCTATCCATTGAGCCAAACTGGTTCCAGCTTGAAAACATTTTTATCTGGCTTTGTGAAGCTCAGATTTTTTGAGGCGTGTTATTATGTTTTTTTAAATCTTTTGAAAAATGGATTTTTATTGATTTCAGAGAAGAAGGGAGAGGGAAGAGATAGAAACATCCATGATGAGAGAGAATCACGGATCGGCTGCCTCCTGCAAGGCCCCCCACTGGGGATCGAGCCCAAAACCGAGGCATGAGCCTTTGATCAGAATTAAACCCCAGGACCCTTCAGTCTGCAGGCCAATGCTCTGTCCACTGAGCCAAACCGGCTAGGGCTATTATTATTTATTTTAAATGTGTAGCTTCAGGACATTTTATTATAAAAGCTGGTTCTCATACACATGACTAATGAGAACTGAAAATTCATCATACATTGGCCTCACTTTTTAACTTCCAGTAAAGCTTTCACTCCATTGATTTTTGGCTGCTATATACGGAGATCCGCCTTGTCTGGGTGACTTAAAAGCATAATTGGTTGATGCACATGTCTTATTTTTTCCTTTGTCTGCAGCAGGGCACTGTAATAGCCACTGCGGAATGCAGATTTTGGAAGATTAAAAAAAACACAAAAAACTTATTTGGCTCTCGCTGGTTTAGCTCAGTGGAGAGAGCGTCAGCCTGTGGACTGAGGGGTCCCAAGTTCAATTCCGGTCAAGGGCACATGCCCAGGTTTCAGGCTCCATCCCCAGTTGGGGGGGCGTGCAGGAGGCAGCCGATCCATGATTCTCTCTCATCATTGATGTTTCTATCTCTCCCTTTTCCTTCTTCTCTGAAATCAATAAAAATATATGAAAAATAATAACTTGTTTCACCTGATGCTCCATATGCTTCATGGCTTGCAAAACATAACCTCTACCATCATGATGTTTCTCTCTCTCTCTCTCTCTCTCTCTTCTTCCTTCCTCTCTGAAAGCAATAAAAATCTATGTAAAAAGAAAAGTCGGGAAAAGGAGGCCTTGGGGACAGGGTCAGGGGGTGTGTGCTCTGGTTGCAAGACTCCTGGGGTCCCTTCGGGTTTAGGAGGTGCGGCCTGTGGAGGAAGGAGGGGCGAGGGAGGATCAGGGTGCTCCGGGGAGGAGCCGGCACACTGGGTTCTTTGTCTTGTTTGTGGCTTTTCTCTCTCTCTTGCAGGCATGATTTTAAAAATATATTTTTTAATTGATTTTTTACTGAAAGGAAGTAAGAGGGATAGAGAGATAGAGCCTGCAACCAAGGTACATGCCCTTGCCCAGAATCGAATCTGGGACCCTTCAGTCCACAGGCCAACGCTCTATCCACTGAGCCACACCAGCCAAGGCCAGGTAGGAATCTTAGAAGAGGTCTCAGCAAAATATTCGCCAATTTTCTGGGTGGCTTTCCTCAGGGGGTGAAGGGGGGACTCTCCACTAATTGGCCACTTACTGGGCCCTGGCCACGTCGCCCACGTGGTTCTGCTGCTTTTCTGGGCCTGGAGCTGAAGTACCGCTGAGGCCCGGGTGTTGCCTCCACGGAGGGGACCTTCTGCACCTGCTGGAAGTCGCTCTGCGGGTTCGCTCAGCTCTCTGCCTCAGTTTCCCTATCCCACTAGCCCCCGCAGACTGGCCGGTCTCTCTCCTAGCTGGAACGTGCTAACCATCTCCTGCCAATTCAAATGCGTGGAGTAAGAAGAAACTGTTCTGGATGCTGTAACCCTGTGTTCAGTGTGGGCCAGGTCGTGAGAAGATAAGGTGGCTCAGTGGTTGAGTGTCACCCTATGAGCCAGAAGTCATGGCTTAGTTCCCCGTCAGGGCACCTGCCCGGGTTGTGGGCTCGATCCCCAGTGTGGGGAGTGCAGGAGGCAGCCGATTTATGACTGTCTCTCATCACCGATGTTTCTCTCTCTCTCTCCCTCTCCCTGAAATAAATAAAAATATATTTATTTAAAAAAATAATTTTTTTTTTTAAAAGTAAAGAATGATGAGGTGGAATTCAGGCCGCCCTCATGCAGAAGCACAAAGCGTCATTTCTGCCTCTGCTTCCCACAGGTAGCCTCTCTCCTACCTGTAGCCTCATTGACCCTGTTCTATCCATAGAACAACATCGCTTACCCAGTTAGTATTTCCTGCTCACTATTCTAATATACAGCCCCGGCCACTGTGGCTCAGTGGATAGAGCCTCGGCCTGCGGACTGGGGGGGTCGCGGGTTTGATTCTGGTCAAGGGCATGGACCTTGGTTGCGGGCATATCCCCAATAGTAGGTGTGCAGGAGGCAGTCCATCCATGATTCTCTCTTATCATGGATGTTTCTCTTTCTTTCACCCTCACCCTTCCTCTCTGAAACCAATAAAAATATGTTAAATAAATGATGTAATTCTTATGTTTAAAAAAGAAAGAAAAGACCCTGGCTGGTGTGGTTCAGTGGATAGAGCATTGGCCTATGGCCTGAAGGGTCCCAAGTTCGATTCTGGTCTTAGGGTACATGCCTGGGTTGCAGGCTTGTCTGGGGACGTGCAAAAGGCAGCCAGTCTATGATTATCCCTCATCATTGATGTTTTTTGTTTTTTAAAAAAATATTATTATAGATTTTTTTAAAAATATATTTTTATTGATTTTGTAAAGAGAGGAAGGGATAGAGATAAAGAGTTAGAAACATCGATGAGAGAGAGTCATCGATCAGCTGCCTCTTTCACACTCCCTACCGGGGATATGCCCGCAACCAAGGTACATGCCCTTGACCGGAATCGAACCCAGGACCTTTCAGTCCCCAATCCGACGCTCTATCCATTGAGCCAAACCGGTTTCGGCTATTTTATTGATTTTTTACAGAAAGGAAGGGAGAGAGATAGAGAGCTAGAAATGTCAATGAGAGAGAAACATCGACCAGCTGCCTCCTGCACACCCCCTACCAGGGATGTGCCTGCAACCAGTGTACATGCTGCAGACCGATGCTCTACCACTGAGCCAAACCGGTTTCGGCTCATCATTGATGTTTTTATCTTTCTCCCCCTCACCCTTCCACTCTAAAGTCAATAAAAATATATTTAAAACACACACACAAAATAATAATCATTAATAAAAATAAAATAAAATAAAATAAAATAAAATAAAGGCAAGCTCTGCCTAGGGGCGGGCCCACCTCGCTTAAAGGTGGAGCTAGCCCCATGGTCAGCAAACCGTGCCTCTTGAGCCACAAGCGGCTCTCTGGCCCCTTGAAGGTGGCTCTTCCACAAAAATATCACGGCCTGGGCGAGTCTGTTTTGAAGAAGGGGCTTTAGAAGAAGTTTAAGTTTAAAGAATGTGGCTCTCCAAAGAAATTCCAATCGTTGTCCTCTTAATATTTGGCTCTGTGGACTGATGAGTTTGCCGACCCCTGGTAGACTCTGATTGGATACGGCCGGCAGATTGTTGAATGAGCAGCGCAGGAGGACAGGTGCCCCCCTCAGGCCTGATGGCGGAGGGGTCCCGGATGCTGCAGGGGCCAGAGAAAACAAGCACACTGCTGCGCCCCGAGACACTCCCATCTGGCCCATCGCTGCTGCCCACACCTGCCCCCTTGGCCGAGGGGACGAGGCATATGGGCCTGGCCGTGGTCCCTCCCTCCGGAAGGGCCCTGGGCAGCCCTCCCCTCCCCATGGGGGAGCGGGTACGACTCTTAAAGCTGCAGGTGCAGCCGAAACCGGTGTGGCTCAGTGGATAGAGCGTCGGCCTGCGGACTGAAGGGTCCCAGGTTCGATTCCGGTCAAGGGCATGGACCTTGGTTGCGGGCACATCCCCAGTGGGGGGTGTGCAGGAGGCAGCTGATGGATGTTTCTCTCTCATCGATGTTTCTGACTCCCTCTCCCTTCCTCTGTGTAAAAAAATCAATAAGATCTATTTTAAAAATGATAATAATAGCCGAAACCAGTTTGGCTCAGTGGTAGAGCGTCGGCCTGCGGACTGAAAGGTCCGAGGTTTGATTCC